GTCCTCTGTGGCTATGTCATTTACTCTGGGCCCAAGAGTCCCCAGGTCTTGCCACACTGCTGGTCAACCAGTTCTTCACCTGGGTTCACAGACGTCTATTGAACGTTGTAGGCCTTAGCTCACCGCTTCATTGCTGTTTTTCCCTCATTTCCCCTTATCGGTGTTGAGCGTGGTCACCAATCAGAGAGTATATTCCCATTGAGTCTTAGTCTTGGAAGGGGGTTTGCACTGAGGGGACCCGACCACTTGCCTTGATGTTTCAGGCCTTTTTAAAAAGAGAAATAAACATAAATAAGATTGTGAAGTACCATTTGAATCTTTCCCAGTTCCGCTTTCCTCTCCTCACTGGTAGAGGTTGTTGAGTGCTGTGGAGTTAGTTCCTACTTATGGTAATCCTGTATAAGGTTTACCAAGGAGCAGCTAGTGGGTTTGAACCACCAACCTTGTGGTTAGCAGTCCAGTGCTTATCCTGCAGGACCACACCAGGACTCCTCCCCATCAGTAATCACTATAAATTTCATTTCTTTCTTTCTAGCTCATATTTTCATACTTCTACTACTACAACTATGCATATAGTCATAAACAATACATAATATTTTTTATTTACACAAATAGAATTGTATTACATGTATATATCTTTGCTGTCTGTGTTGTTAAATTTAACTAAATCATTTTTTAAAATTTGTTATTAGCCTATCATTTATATATATTAGATTATATTTCTCATTTATTTTACTGTGACAGCTGTGTTGTTTCCATTTTTCCCCCTATTACCAACATTGAGGTTGTGAACATCTTTGTACATATCTTTTGGTGCTGGAGAGTTTCTCTAGGTCAGGGTTTCTCAACCGTGGGCTAGATAATTTTTTAGTGTGGGGGATATCCAGTACATTGTAGTGTTTAAAAAGTATTGCGAACATCTACCCACTAGGTATTAATAGTACCTCCCCAGTTGTGAAAATGAAAAATATCTCCTGCCAAGGGGGACAAGATCACACCCAGTTGAGGATAACTGCTCTAGGTGTATATATCCAGAAGTATAACTGCCAGGTTGCACTGACTCAAAGTTAAAGATATTCTTACAGATTATGGCTTTAGGATTCTTTTGAATGGAAGGACCTTGGCCTAGATCAATGCTAGGACTGTTGTACTTGTGACTTGGTAGAAAGAACATTGTTGGTTGGAGACTGCAGCATGGATGCCCATTTCCTCAACTTCCCAATCAGAACTAGATTTCTTTCCTTAAACAGATTTTCTAGATTTGGGCCTCTGTCTCTTAAAGTGGAGCGGAACGTAGGGATTTTAATGTTCTGATATAATATTTAGAACATACAGAGCCCTCAAGAAGTGTTGTTTAAATTAATCCTTAGTAAGGATGAAGGTAGAAGTTAAGGGCAAAGGTAGGTAAGCTCGCTTATTAAACAACAGTTGTTAAGTGCTGTCGAGTTGATTCCGACTCATAGAGATCCTGTATAGGGTTTCCAAGGAGTGGCTGATGAGTTTGAACCACCAACCTTGTGGCTCAAACTGACCTTGAGATCCAGTGCTTTATCCCACAGTGCCACACCAGGACTTCACTTAAAATTTTAAATTAGATCCTAGAATTTACCGTGAGGAGGTGAAGATGGACCAGAAAAGTTTTGGAATGAATTCAGGTTTGATATGTCACTCTAACTTTCTCTTCTGGTAGGAATCAACAGTAGCCTTCCATGAGGAACTGCCTTTTCCATTTGCTGCTGGAGTTGAAGTTGTTTCTTGCTGGCAGAATCAGGGACATGCCAGCACTGTAAGGGTTCATCTCCTTATCCTCTGACCAGTTGCAAGGTTGGAGGTGGGGTGAGCAGGAGGGAAAAGGGAGATCTTGCTTTTTGCTTATGGATCTTTAGTTATTTCAAGTTACAGCTCACATGCCTCCTTTCCTGTTGATTCTGCTATAGCTTTGCTCCCTATTCTGCCTAGTCCCCTTGTAGTTCCCACTTATAGTTTCTTTCTCCTACCCCATTCTCTATTCACTGCCAGGAGGCTTAGATTCTGAGCTAATGTGGTCCTCCCCTCCACAGAGCGGGATGAGTGGGTGCTCCGGTGGGGATGTGGTCATTGCCGACCAGTGAGGGCGAGAGCGCCACGGCCCACTTCTTCCTTGGAGCTGGAGATGAAGGGCTGGGCACCCATGGAATAGACATGAGGACAGAAGAGAGTGACAGCGAGCTCCTTGAGGATGAGGAGGATGAAGTGGTAAGACTAAGGAAATTATGTAACTTTATGATTGTCCTTGTGATAGAGAGTTGAGATTGGATGAAGAGATCTCTTTTTTCTTTCCAAATGCACAGACTCTGTCATATATAGGCCCTTTTCTGAATTAGGGGAGGGACCTTGGAGATTGGTTATATTGCTTCTATTCAAAGTCCCTGCCCTTGTACCCTCTTTATATCATCTCATGACTGTTGGTTCTCTGACTCTTCTGCCTAAACACACATATTTTCTATTGTGCTAAGGCTCCTGTTCTGTAGGAAATTGAAATCTCTACATGTGTCCCAACCTAGACCAAAGCTAGAAGGCAACATTTACCCTACAGGTCTCAGGTCCAGGCAAAAAACTGTGCCCTAAGAAGATAAGACTGTGTTGTGTGATGAGGGTGGTATAAATTGGAAGTTTCAGAGTTCCTGATAACACTTCCTTTCTGTAGCTTCCTGAACCACAGATCATTGTTGGCATCTGTGCCATGACCAAGAAATCTAAGTCCAAGCCAATGACTCAAATCCTAGAGCGACTCTGCCGATTTGACTACCTGACTGTTATCATTCTGGGAGAAGATGTGATTCTCAATGAACCTGTGGAAAACTGGCCATCCTGCCATTGCCTCATCTCTTTCCACTCCAAAGGTTAGTAGGGAAAATGGGAAGAAATGATGGAAATACTCAACTGAAAAATGAGGTTCTTACTGTCGTATTTCTTTAGTGAGGAACAGTACAAAGCGGTTTTCTTTACCTACCTGTTGGAGGAGCTGTTGGAGTTTATAGCTTGTGTTCTAATCTTACGACAGTTCTAAGGCTCTGATGGAATTGGGTCTCTAGAAAGACCTCAAAAATAATTTCTTTTTTACTTTTTCCTGATGGGCATCTTAAACTTTTGGGGAATGGGCAGGATAGTGAGAAAATTGGATGGGTGGAAGAACTCAGTGACAACTAATAACTTTAATATGTTGAATATATTCTCACTTTTTCTCTTTCACTCTTTTTGGTGTATTTCCTTTCTCCATCCCAGGCTTTCCTCTGGACAAGGCTGTTGCTTACTCCAAACTTCGAAATCCCTTTCTTATCAACGACTTGGCCATGCAGTATTACATCCAAGATAGGTATAACTTTCTGTTGACCAGTGGAGGGGTGGCCCTGGGATCATGGCCCAGTCTTTCCCAGAAGTCTTATAGAAACTCATTCTGGGAGGGGCAGAGTCAATCAAACAGACTTACTTAATTTATACCATACCAACTTGGGTTCTGGACCCTCGTGCAACTGGAATCTCCAGCTTCACCCCTTAATCACCCCATGTCACCCCACCAACTCTCCTAGCTAATTTATTTGGGGGTGACAGGAGGGAGGTGTACCGGATCCTGCAGGAGGAGGGTATTGATCTGCCTCGATATGCTGTGCTCAACCGTGACCCTGCCCAGCCTGAAGGTGAGTACCTGGCCTTGCCCACTCCTGTCTTGTCTTTCTGTCTATCACTTAACCCATTTCTTCATCCTGTAGACATCTCTTATGTATCACCTATCTAAGTGGGACTTTGGATACTGGATTATGGTTGGGTAGGGTTAGAACCATGGATCTTTGGACAGGGCCTTGGACTGATAATATAGATATTGCTATACCTACTACCAAGATAAGATAATAGAAATGTGAAGGTTTCAGAGATTAAAACCCTGAAGAAATGGAAATTGGAAATATTTTATAACCCTAGGCCCTAGGAATGACCACATACTCACTTTTCAGAGTGCAACCTGATAGAAGGTGAAGACCAAGTAGAGGTAAATGGAGCTGTCTTTCCCAAACCCTTTGTGGAGAAGCCAGTGAGTGCGGAGGATCACAATGTTTACATCTACTACCCCAGTTCAGCTGGAGGAGGAAGCCAGCGTCTCTTCCGTAAGGTGTGGGGGACATGTGAATATTTGGGGTATCAAAGAGGTAAAAAGACAAGGCTTAGGTTATAGGGAGGGAAGCTGGAGGATTTAGAGATAAGGTGGAGGTTTGAGGCAACATGCTTTTTTTTTTTTCTTCCTTTTCCTCTTGAAGATTGGCAGCCGAAGCAGTGTTTACTCTCCTGAGAGCAGTGTCCGAAAGACAGGGTCGTACATCTATGAAGAATTCATGCCGACAGATGGCACAGATGTCAAGGTTATGGTGGCTATAGTAGATTACAAATGTCTAGGTGGGGATGGGCACTAGGGAAGCTGGTAGAAGTATATGGAGGAGGCCATAGAAATAAAGTGTCAATGAGATTGGCTTTTATATTCAGATGAAGATAAGGAGGGTGTGTAGACATTCATATCACCATCAAAGCATGGATAAGGGTGACAGAGAAAATCTTATAATGTTGGTAAATTATTTCTTACTACAGACTAAGATGCTGGAGTCCTGAGAATAAACCTTCATAATGATGTTTCAGTAGGGCTCAGTAGGAAAAATATCAGTCTTTTCTCTCTTTTTGTTTTTTATTTATTTTTTAAATTTTGGAACAAGGCTACAGACCTAGTCCTCATATTGTCTTCTCACATACAGGGTGATCTGTGGGCATACTCAGTGATGCTATGTACCTGCAGGTGTATACAGTGGGGCCAGATTATGCCCATGCTGAAGCAAGAAAATCTCCAGCTTTGGATGGAAAGGTTGAACGAGACAGTGAGGGGAAAGAGATTCGGTATCCAGTTATGCTAACTGCCATGGAAAAGCTGGTGGCCAGGAAAGTCTGCGTAGCTTTTAAGGTGAAGGAAGACCCATAGGGCTGTGTGGAATGAGGGAGAGAGACAGGAGTGGGGATCTGGAAATAGAGGCCCCTCTTGTTCTCATCTTGCTTCTTTTGTCTGCAGCAAACAGTTTGTGGATTTGACCTTCTTAGAGCCAATGGCCACTCCTTTGTGTGTGATGTCAATGGCTTCAGTTTTGTCAAGAACTCGATGAAATACTATGATGACTGTGCCAAGATTCTGGGGTAAGGGACATAGAGGTCTGGACTGGGGAGAATGGATTTAGAGAAGAGGGTTAGGAAATTTTTACTTTATTTTAAATATTGTAAAAATGATTTAAAAGGGAAAGGGTTCCCCAGCCCCCTTGCCTTCCCAACACTGTACTCCCCAAAGATAATTACTATTAACAGTTTAGACATAACAGTATTTCTTTTACTGCCATATATAAACAAACTATATTTTAAGAAATATTTTACTATTTATTTTTGTATATAATGAATAAATGTATTGTTTTACAAAAATCATTGTCTAGAAATACAGGAATACGAGAAAAGATATTTGCAGTCAGGTGTCTGATGGTCAACAGCCAATACAATTCATCAAGAGGGGAGAGGGAGGAATCAAAGATTCCGAACCCACATGACAAATTCTTCTTAACAGATGTTAAAGCTTTTAATCCAAAAGGTTTGTGTTGTCAAGCATATTGCAGAGGATCAAGGATCTATAAGTAATACTAATTCACTGTTACTGAATGTTTATAATATCACTTTGACTAGAGAGGTACATGATATCAAGCATAGTCAAAACTTAATACATTAAATTGTTATAGAGACAAATGATGTATTAACACTGTCTTAGTATTGTAGTATCTAAGGCACTTTCTGTAATGTCAGTTTCTCAATTATCAATCAAAAAAGAATGGTAGATGTTCACTGTAACTCTGTCCAATGGGAAGGGGAAGGGAGAATGAGAAGGGATTCACATCCACTGGCATGTCAACATCCAGGCAGATGGCATCTTATCTTGAGGTTCTACAAACCTCACCGACAAACTTGGTTGTACAAATTGACTAAAAAAGTTTTGTCAGGTAGTATTTTACACATTCAAAATAATTTGAGGGATAATGAAAACAGTGAACATCTATGTATTCAACTTATATCTTAATAAAATAATAATTCAGTTGAAACCCGTAAGTAGTCCTCCTTCATTACATCTCCATCCCCCCTACCCAGAGGTAACCACAATTCTAACTTTGATGTTTATTATTCCCTGCATTTATTTGTATTTGTACTAGATAGAGTTTGTTTAGAATATTTTTGGACTTTATATTAATGTATTCTTCTGAAAATTAGTTGTTTTACTCAGTGTTTTATATTACTCAGTGTTATATTTCTGAACTTCATTCATACATATAGCTGTGGTTCATTCATTGTCACATGGCTCCTTCATGTTTCTCCTTCTAGGAACACCATAATGCGAGAGCTTGCCCCACAGTTCCAGATCCCATGGTCTATCCCAACAGAGGCTGAGGATATTCCCATTGTTCCTACCACATCAGGCACCATGTGAGCAAAAGTAAAAACCTGGAGTAACCTACTTAAGCCACTTGGGATTTCCTAAGTGCTTCTGACCTTGCACAATCTGTCAGTCTCCTTAACCCAACTGATAGTTCAACTTTCAGTTTTTTCTCTGCTCTTTGACATGTTAAGTAGGATATAATGATTTATGGGCGGGGGAGGCTCTGACAACATTTCCCATCTTAGGATGGAACTTCGTTGTGTCATTGCAATTATCCGTCATGGAGATCGTACCCCCAAACAGAAAATGAAGATGGAAGTGACACATCCAAGGTAGGAAGGATGTCTTGATGAAATAGGTTTTGGTGATGGAGATGGAAAGAGGCAGCTCCCAGAGGCTTTGACTGGCCCCACACTGAAGCTTTTCCTTACATCTTCAGGTTTTTCACCCTGTTTGAGAAACACGGTGGCTACAAGACAGGGAAATTAAAATTAAAACGACCTGAGCAGCTACAGGTAAGGTAGTGAATTGGAATGAGCAGTGCTATGGAAAACATAAGGTTGTAACATCTGGGACCTTTATTAGAGATTGGGATGAAAAAGCCACTGACCAAGACTTGGCCTCCTACATGAATGTGGGCACCACACCATCCCTCCCACAATACTCTCTGCTTCTCTGATGGGTTCAATAATTCATTGACATGGTCACACAGGACTCAGACACTATACTCAGTTATGGGGTTTATTAGGGAAGTTAATAGATTACAATTCAGGGTCAGAAATACTCAGGGCACATTTCCAGTCAGCTGTTGATAAATGCTCACATGACACACCACTCCATTGTAAGCCTCAGACTGAAGGCACCTGACTCTACAAGCAAGCTTCCTGTCCAAAGCCACTCAGTTTACTTGCTCTGTAGGCTGGGAAGGCCACTGCTCTGTCTTGTGCTCTGGTTCTTGGTAGCTGCTTCTCTGCTATTCCTCTGTTGTAACAGATTCTGGGTTGAGGAAGTTCAATATGCAGGGATCTTAGGGCCCAAAAGACATGCGTCCCTCCTGACTCTTCTTCTTTAATGGTAGTGAGATTTCCCCCTCCCTTCTGAAATGGCTCATTTTAAACCTATGCTAGAGTTTCAAATTTTTACCATTAAAATGAACTGTGCTAACATCCACAACTGAATCATGCCATTCTATCAGTATCTTTTCCCACCTTCATGTTACCCAAACCCAGCAGGTCAGAGACACTGTTTGGTGGGAACTGCAGACTATGGCTAGAAGAGACAGAAGATAATTCACTACACCACAGATACCCTTTTATTTCCTCCAGGAGGTGCTGGACATCACAAGGCTGCTGTTGGCTGAGCTGCAGAAAGAGCCAGGTGGTGAGATCGAGGAGAAGACTGGGAAACTAGAGCAGCTGAAATCTGTGCTAGAGATGTGAGACGGGAAGTAAGGAAATGGGAGCCAATAACAGTCAGATTTGGGTGCTGGGGTAGAAAGTAAACTGGGATTTTATCCTGCAGGTATGGTCACTTCTCAGGCATCAACCGGAAGGTGCAATTAACTTATTACCCTCATGGAGTAAAAGCTTCTAATGAGGGACAAGGTAAGATACAATACCCATTCCTGTTACTGCTCATATCTTTTGTGTTTTGTTTTTTTTTTAAACTTTTTATTGTGAATTGAGTGGAGGTTTACAGAGCAGATCATCAGTTTTATATTTTAAAAAATCATATACATTGCTTCATTACAATGATAGCAATTTCATCCATGTACCATCAGTTTCCCTCTACTCACTTTAATTCTTGCATTTCTCCCTGTGCCTCCCACTACCTTCATCTTTCTTCTGTCAGTCTGACTTTTATTGTATATTGCCTGCCCCTTCACTATCATAGAACTTTTTTTTTTTTGACTCTTTATTGTGAATTGAGTGAAGGTTTACAGACCAGATTATCAGTTCTACATTCAACAAATTACGCTCTTCGTGTCATTACAATGATTGTAATCTCTTCCATGTACCATCAGTTAGCAGTACTTACTTTAACTCTTGCACTCCTCCCTGCATCTCTCCTGCTACCTTCGTCTGACTGCTGCTTCCATGAGTGTTGATGGTTGATCCAAGACAAATGAAGTCCTTGACATCTTCAGTCTTTTCTCCGTTGATAAAAATGTTGTTTATTGGTCCAGTAGTGAAGATTTTTGTTTTCTTTACATTGAGATGCAATCCTTACCAAAGGCTATTGTGTTTGATCTTCATCAGTAAGTATTTCAAGTCCTCTTCACTTTCAGCAAGCAAGGTTGTATCATCTGCATATCGCATGTTGTTAATAAGTCTTCTTCCAATCCATGTTTTTCTTCATATATCCCAGTTTCTCAGATTATCTGCTCAGCATACAAGTTGAATAAATATGGTGAAAGAATAGAACCCTTTCACACATCTTTCTTAATTTTAAACCATTCAGTGTTCCCATGATCTGTTCGAACAACTGCCTCTTGGTCCATGTACAGATTCCTCATGAACACAATTAAGTGTTCAGGAACACCCATACACTTTACAATGTTATCCATAGCTTGTCATGATCCACATAATTGAAAGCCTTTGCATAGTCAATAAAGCACAAGTAAACATCTTTCTGGTATTCTCTGCTTTCAGCCAAGATCCGTCGGACATCAGCAATGATATTTCTTGTTCCACATCCTCTTTTGAATCTAATGACCCTGAAAATGGTTTCCAAAGAGCAGCTGGTGAGTTTGAACCACCGACTTTGTGGTTTAAACTGACTTTGCAGTCCAGTGCATTAACTCACCGCACCACACCAGGACTTCATTTTACAATAGTAGGCAGAGGAAATCAATATCCATAGGCAGTCAAACACATAAACCTTTTAAAAACACTCAAGTTCAATCTTTTCTTCTCCACTCTTAGACTGACCCCATTCATATGCATATGGCCTTGGGCCTCTGGTAGGGTGGATTCCAGTAAACCCTGACCCCCTATCAGCCATTCTGCTTAACCAACTTGACATCTACTTTTGGCAACTCCAGATGCTACTTTTCTTCCTGCAGCTGAAGGATTTTATCTTTTATATTCTTTTCAACCATTACATGTTAACAAAAACCAAAATAACCATCTAAAAATCAAAAGTTTCACTTCCCATGCCCTTTCATTCTTTCTCTTTCATGCTTCCATGAGTCTGGAGCATTTCATTGAATCTTGTTCCTGATGCCAACTGCTTAAACTATGTGGGGCCCATGTCTGACTTCCTCTGACTTCACAAGGGGAAAAGAAAACCAAACTCAAAATCAGCTCAAGGTCCATTTCTGTGAAGCATGCCTATTCCCTACAACCTTGTTAATTTTTGTTAAGCACTGTTGAGTTGGTTCCATCTCACAGTGATCCTGAATAGGGTTTCTGAGGAGGAACTGATGAGCTTGAACCACCGACCTTGCATTTCAAACCAATTTTGCAGTGCAGCACATTAACCTTCAGCACCATACCAGGACTCCTACAATCTTATTGCCCTTTAAATTAGACATCAGAACCAATTTAGAAAACTGATACTTGTGATTTTGTTTCTCTAGAACTGTACTCTCTTAGTTCCACCTGTTTTAGGCTGGATTTTCTATGTAAGCAAAATCAGTGAAACTTGAATATATATAAAGAGCAGTTTATATCAAGGAAATAGCTCAGAATTATAGAGTCCCAGGTCCTTAGCGAAAGAAGAGCAAGCCTTTTCCATGTGTCCATTATATTGGGAGCAGGCCACACACCCAAAGTAATATCCTTTCAGTTGATTGGTTGCTAATAGCCACTTATCATAGAGTTAACTTATGTGTATATTAGGTTTCTTCACCATAGGGATAATCACATCTCTACTAAAACACTGGGAATACTGGCTCAGTCAAGTTGACACAAAACCCTATCTATTACAGTCTACCTTTTGTCAGTTTGGCACCTATAAAACTCTTCATGGTGTCCAACATAACTCTTAGGCTTTCTTCAGATTTTTTTCATTCATTTTTTCTGATTGTTCTTTATTGAGAGATTTATTTTCCCACTCACTAATTCAGGCTTCCCTTGCTTTGCATCTACTCCTTTGCCCTTTCAATGTATTGTCCATTTCTGAGATCTTACTATTTATCTGCTGGATTTCTAATTGTAGGTTTTGTATTATTTCAAAATTTGCATTTATTTTGTCTGTTTGTTCTTGTAGTAGTTTCCTGAATTCTTCTAAAATTTTTTCTGTTGTTATTTTCCTCAATCTTTTGGTCAATCTATTTCATGTGCCTAAATATCATTATTTGAATTATTTTACAGCTAGTTCCATTATCTTATCTTCCTCAAATGTTTTCTGGCTCTGCATCTTGGTCATTTGTTTGAGCCATTGTCTCTTGTTTCTTCATGTGAGCTAAAATTGTCTCTAGAACAATGTGATGTTGGTGTATTTGTATTTAATTGATGATTGTATGTTGATGTGATCTTAGGCTCTCACCATTAGTCTCCTGTAGTGTAGTTAAGGAGCTCTGGTAGCGTAGTGGTTACGAATCGGGCTGCGAACCTTAAGGTCAGCGGTTCGAAACTACCAGCCGCTCTGCGGGAGAAAGATAAGGCTTTCTACTCCTGTAAGGATTTACACCCTCGGAAACCCTGTACAGGGTCGCTATGGGTCGGACCCGACTCGACGGCACTTAACAACAACAACAACAAGTGTAGTTAGAGATTGGCAGCATGTGCACCATTTGCCATTAGTGCACCTCAGTTTAGGGTGGGTTTCGCTGATGTTGGCTGCTGCCTATCATTGATCCTGCTATTGACTCTTGCCCAGTGGGTGGAGCTGCAGTGGGTATGATTGGGACTGGGCTGTATGGGCACAGTTGCTGTCTCCTGTCAGATGAATTCCTCCCACCCCACACACACACAAAAACACAAAACAGAATAAACAAGCAAGCAACCAACTATGAAAAGAGAAAATGATAAAGGAGAAAAGAGAAATAAAAATAGGCAGCAGCCAGAAAAAAAGAATACAATAATTAAAGAGAAAAGAAGGAATGGAAAATGGAGCTATTGAAGAGAAAATAAGAGAGAAAATAATAGGAAGAATTACAAAAACCAGGGACAGAAAAGATGAAAAGTAAAAGAATATAGAGTAGTAAGAAAGAGCAAAAGGAAACTAAAAAGAAGAGGGGAAATGAGAAACAGAAAAAAAGGAAAAACAAAAGTGGAGATAGGATAAAATTCAAGGGAATGGAAAGAGAAGAAAGAATAAGCAAACAAAAACAACAATGCAACAAAAGGAAAAAAAAAATGAAGCTGAAAAAGCCAGTGTAGCTGTTAGACCCAAAGAAGAGAATCTCTAAGGGGCTCCTGCCAGCCAAGGAGTTGACGAGGTGGGTGAGGGAGTCCATGACCCTAGATGGAATTCCTATAGGCCTATATGTTGTTTGTGTTCAGGGCACTCAATCCAAAAGTAGTTTGTGGAGGCCCTTGATGGAGTTGTTTTCAGTATCTGTTAAAACTACAGGGTAGCTGATTATGAGGGTTGCTGCTAGAGTAATGCTGGTCTGGTGGCTCTGTAGGTTCTGTAGTTCTGGAACCAAACTCATCTGAAACCAGGCATCAAAGTGTAACAGCTGGCCCCTACCTTACACTGGCATTACTTACAACCACACAGCTCCAAACAACTGGGGAGCAGGGTCTGCACTGGGGGTGGATGAGGATGGGAGTTGACCACACTTCTTGTCACCAGAGGAACATGAGGGGAAGAAGGAATCATAACTTTATTGTTGCCTTTGTGAATCTGCTCTGCTAGACCACCTTCTGTTGCCAAAACTACAGAAAAGTTCAAGATGGTAGCTCTGTGCCTGGTTGACTGTTCACTAGTTTCCCATTCTTGCCGTCTTGCTCAGCTTCTCCTCTGAGCAAGCACTCAATCCACTTCTTTAACTTTTCCTCTGAAGTTCAGGGTGCTTTTCATTTGTGTCTATTTCATTTGGTCTTTTGTATCTTTGTTATAGAGGGTCCCTGTAATGCATCTGCCTAGTCTTGCATCTTTATTCTTGAACGTCTATCCCATACTACTTTTCTGGTCTCCTCCGAAGACTGCACATTAGATGTCCCATTATTTTCTTTAGATCTAGACCTATTCACTATCCTTTTTTCTCCTAGATCCACAGAGGGAAGGTCTGACCCCATCTCTACTGCTGGTACTGAAATGGGGTGGAGAGCTGACTCCTGCTGGCCGTGTTCAGGCCGAGGAGCTGGGACGAGCTTTCCGCTGCATGTACCCCGGAGGACAAGGTGAGTGTTTTAAGGGCTGGAATAAGATACAGAATAAGTTGGAGGAAATGAAGGGACAGAGGCAATGGGGAAGTTGGAGGGGAGATGAATATTTAAGTGTGGATATTTATAGCAGTTCATTTCTGGTCCTTCCCATTGCCCCCAGGTGACTATGCTGGCTTCCCTGGATGTGGGCTACTTCGTCTCCATAGTACTTTCCGCCATGACCTCAAGATCTATGCCTCTGATGAGGGCCGTGTCCAGATGACTGCTGCTGCTTTTGCTAAGGTACACACTATCATTCTTTCACAGCCCCCGCTTCCCATCAGATAGAGAAACAGAGTGTAGAAAATGGGTTGGGAAATTTCAGAGCGTTTGTGTGCTAATTGAGAGAAGTTTCTGCTTGTGCCTGACCCCATTTTATACTGTGGAAAATCTCTATTCTAGCCCTTGAAGGGAGTTACCATTTGATATTTGTTATCAGCTAGGTCTAAGGGGCCTAGCCTGGAAAGGAAATGAATAGACCTTATGTTTCTCCTCCAGGGCCTTCTGGCTCTAGAAGGGGAGCTGACACCCATTTTGGTACAAATGGTAAAGAGTGCCAATATGAATGGGCTCCTGGACAGCGATGGCGATTCCTTGAGCAGCTGTCAGCACCGGGTAAAGGCTCGACTACACCATATTTTGCAACAAGATGCACCCTTTGGCCCTGAAGACTATGATCAGGTAAGACTTTCCATACGTCTCTGGTAGCGTAGGGGTTACGAATCGGGCTGCGAGCCTCAAGGTCAGCAGTTGGAAACTACCAGCTGTTTCGCGGGAGAAAGATGAGGCTTTTTGCTCCTGTAAAGATTTACAGCCTCGGAAACCCTATGCAGGGTCGCTATGAGTCAGAACCAACTCTACGGCACATAACAACAACATGTCCTAAATACTCCAGATCCCAAATTCTTGGAATTCTAAATAATAGTGCATACTATGTATCAGGCACTGTTGTGGGTGCTTTACATACATGATTTCATTTAATTCATATATTAACCCTTTGAGAAAAGTCTCTTATCTTCAACTTCAAAAATTGAGAAGATTTTGGTAAGTTTGGTATCAAGACTTATTTGGTGGCAAAATCTCATAGTATATGAACTGTCCTAAGGCTATTTACATAGTCCTGGTGTGGCACTGTAGGGCAAACACACTGGACCTCAAGGTTGATTTGAGCTAAAAGGTCTACGGTTCAAATCCACCAGCCGTTCCTCAGAAATCCTATATAAGATTGCTGCTGAGTTGGAACCGACTTGATGGCACTAAAATAACAACAAAGGCTATTTATAATCCTTATTCTTATCCCATTTAGTGTAGTCATACATTGTGGTACAGAAATATTAATGTGACTCATAATCATGTGACCCTGCTTTATTTTTGTTGTTAAGTGCCCTTGAGTCGGTTCTGACTCATAGCGACCCTGTCTCGCATTTCTGAGGAGCAACTGATGAGTTTGAACTGCTGACCTTGCAGTTCAAATTGACCTTGCAGTCCAGTCTTTATTATACAATGCCACACCAGGACTCCATGCTTCTGGTAGTATATATTATATGTCATATGAACTGTATTAAGGAGCCTTGGTAGCATAATGGATTATGAACTAGGCTGCTAACTGCAAGGTCAGTGGTTTGAATCTACTAGTTGCTCTGTGGAAAAAGATGAAGCTTTCTGCTACCATAAAGATTTATAGCCTAGGACACCCTTCCTATACAAGGTCACTGTAAGTAGGAACCGACTTGGTGGCATACAACCACCACCTTCACCTTGCACTGTATTAACTTCTTAAAGTCCAGTTGTTGAATAAAAGAATGTCATCTATTGCTGTCTACTAAAAACTACTCCAAAGTTTAATAACTTAAAAAAAAAAATCATCTTATCATCTGTTAACAGTTTTAGGCTCAACTGAGCTGAGGATTGTGAGAGATAATAAAATGATTGCTGTTTTAAGTTACTTGGGGTTTCTCATGACAATTGAGTATAAACATACATTAAAGCTTGACCAGGGTACTGATAGCTGGGCTTTCTGTTTATGCTGTTATGCTAGAGAGTCTCTCCTCTCTACATGTTTTCTTCACTGTTTAGTTTCTCTATAAACCAAACCCATTGCTGTTAAGTCAATTACATCTCATAGCAACTCTATAGGAAAGAGTAGAATTGCCTCACAAAGTTTCTATGCCTGTAATAATTACAGAAGTAGACTGCCACATCTTTCTCCCACAGGGTGGCAGGTTAGTCGAACTGCTGACCTTTTGGTTATCAGTCAAGTGCTTAACCACAGTTCTACTGGGTAGCTTAGGGCTCCCCCAAATCACAAAAGCAGAAGCTTCCAGACTTTCTTAAAAGTGTAGCTCAATAATTAGCATAGCATAACTTTGCTGTTTTTTAATGGTTAAGAAGTCACAGGGCTAGCCCAGATTCAAAGAAAATGGAGGATAACAAAGAATTAATGTCCATCTTTAATCTACAACAAGGATTATGAACTTGTACAACTTTTTCCTTATTTTACAAATGAAGGAACTTCCACTAAGAAGAAAGAAGTTAAGCCATGTTTTCCAAGACCACCTAGCTTGTCCAAGCAATCTAGCTCTGGAGTTCAGGCTGTAACTACTTCTGTATACTGACTCACAGTAGTAATCACGGTGGATGCCACTACCTAATGTAGTCATCCTTTTTATCTGTGTGTCACTTTAGCAGCCGATGAGTACAAGAGTGTCCTAGCTTACTACTTTAGCATCAGGAAACAGTACCAGAGGCTTTTAGGACTTTTTCAGGGAAATGAATTAGAGTGCCTTCCTATTTCTGTAGGGAGATGCTCCAAGTCCAGGCTGCTGAGGAAATTCCATATTTCAGGTCCCATCCTGGAGTTCAGGCTTGGCCTAACATCATCTTGAATCTGTATGGATCTGATTTTAGAGTTGGCTTAGAATGGATCTAGGCTATGATTGACAGGAGATCATTTGCCAGACAATGACTTCTCACCAACTAACCTCTGACAGCTCCTCATTTTTTATTGGTTCTTAAGTGATAACTAAGTCGATGAGCACATTACATAAGATGCTGAGAAGGACTTGACAAATTGTAGGGCGTTATTTTCCAATCCATTTCTCAAGTGCCAAACCCAGAAAACCTAAGACACTTTCCCTTTCACCCTACTTGGATGAGACTTGTAAGGACCTACGTAGAATGTGTGTATTCCATCTAATGCCTCTTTCTGAACCCTCCCTATATGGTGGCATCCCTCATGGACTGTGACTATTCCAAAAGTTTTAGTTTGAACCCAGTTTCGAAAAGCAATTCTACTCTAGGTTCAGGCTAGCATCCTGTATCTAGGAACGTGATAATTTTATCTCTAATATTCATCCACGAAAATATTTTATGGAGTTTTTAAAAGATTTTGTGTTAATCTTTATTCTCTAGCATTTTCCATGCGTCTTTTAGAACCCCTGAAAAAAAGACCTCTTGACTTAAAAGACTTTTTTTTTTAAGGTTTTTATTGTGGATTGAGTGAAAGTTTTCAGGGCACATCATCAGTTTCATATTCAAACATTCATATACCTTGTTTCATTACATTGATTATAATCCCCTTCACATACCATCAGTTAACAGAGTTTCTCTCTATAAAAGACTTTTTAAGATCAACCTCACTTAGATGACTATGTGCTAGAGCAGTACCCTCTTCAGAAGGTCCCAAACTTCTAGTGTGCTCAGCATCCTCAGAACACTCCTGAGAGTGAGCCAACAAATGCATCTGTGTAGTAGGTAGTCTCTTTGTAATAAGCTTACAGGAATCTGTGCAATTGGCACTGAACCTCTGGTACTTTTCTTTCCTCAATTCTTCACAGCTGGCTCCCACTGGAAGCACTTCCCTGCTCAACTCCATGGCTACTATCCAGAATCCTGTGAAGATCTGTGATCAGGTATTTTCTCTGATTGAAAACCTCACCCACCAGATCCGGGAACGGATGCAAGATCCTGAGTCTGTAGGTGGGTATGAATATTGTGATCTTCCCTTCAAGGTCTCAGATATGGATGAATTTCTCGGGCACTTCTGCCTCTTCTCCAAAATATCTGAGAGAAATAATCTTCTTATCTCTGGTTTTACATAAGAGTCGGGGTCTTTAGTTAGAAATAAAATCTTTGTTTTGTTTTTTAATTAAAAATTTTTAATTGTGATATAGCTGAAAGTTTATAGAACAAATTGGTTTCCCATTCAACAGTTCATACACATTTTGATTCTTGATATTGATTGTAATCCCAACAGTGTAACAAAACTCTTCCCACTTTTTAAATCTGAAGGTGTCTAAGGGCCATAGACCTCTGGGTTTAAGTAAAGATTTGGCTCTGCCTGCCTTCCTTTCAGACTTGCAACTTTACCACAGTGAGACACTAGAGCTAATGCTACAGCGCTGGAGCAAGCTGGAGCGTGACTTTCGACAGAAAAGTGGACGCTATGACATCAGTAAGATCCCTGATATTTATGACTGTGTCAAGTATGATGTGCAGCACAATGGGAGTCTGGGACTTCAAGGCACAGCAGAATTACTGCATCTCTCTAAGGCACTGGCTGATGTGGTCATTCCCCAGGTATGCGTTATATAAAGTGTTTTAGTTATCTAGTGTTGCTAAAACAGAGACACCACAGATGGATGGCTTTAATAAACAAATTTATCTTCTCATAGTTTACAAGGCTAAAAATCTGAATTCAGAGCACTGACTCTCTGGATGGTTTTCTCTCTCTGTCAGCTCTAGAGGAAAAGGCCTCGTCTCTCTATCTTTTACTTACCAGTTCCTTGGAGAGATGTATGTGTCCTGGCATCTATCCTACCCTATCTTTCCTCTGCTTGCTTTTCTGTTTAATCTCTTTTATATCTCAAAAGAGATTGATTTAAGACACTACTTATATTAATCCTGCCTCATTAACATTATAAACAATTTATTCCCAAATGGGATTATAACCAAGGCATAGAAGTTAGGTTTTACAACACATGTTTTGGAAGCACAATTCAATCCATCACATTCCACTTTTGTTGTTGTTGTTAAGTGTTGTTAAATTGATTCCAACTCATAGCAACCTTGTATAACTTCATCCCCTTAGCTTTGTGCAATGGTCCCATCTCCCTGGCACACTCTAAGGGCAACCCCAAACTCCAGAACCAGTTGATGAAGAGCCAACTCTTTGAAACTTAAGAGGCTGCTTTCCTGCCCTTTGAGATCAAGAAGACCATGGTCCCACCCTTAGGCTATACTGCTTCCTGTGCTCTTTCCAACTGTTCTGTTGATCTCCATGCTGCTCTAGGGATGGCTTTTTTTCTTTTCATGTTGGACAACAGATATAGCTCCTTTGACCTGTTTCCTATCTGCAGAATTCCAAGAGGCAGACAGTGTTCTCTCATTTTGTTTTTTTTGTGTCTCTTTCAGTCTAAGCTGAGAGATTTTCTGCTGTGGTAGTTGGTTAGCTTCATCAGTCACAGGCTTAATCTCTTTAAAAAGTTTGTTTAGCCTCGTCCTCAGTGAAAATGCTAGGACATGTGGGCTTAGTTTGTACAACAGACTTTTGTATATCTTTAAGTTTTGTTTTCATATTGCATAGCTCATTTTTAAGTCTATATCTTTAATCTTGTATTTTATTGTAAATGGCAAGGAGAAACCACTTGGCCCTTTCAAGGATTAGAAATCTTCTCAACCAAATATTCCAGATCATCACTTAGAAGTTCTACCTTCCATCAAACATTTGAACATAATTCTAATAAATTCTTTGCTGTTGTATAAAAATCATCACCCTTCTTCTATCATCCAATCATATGTTCATTTTTTTTTTTTTTTAATCCTCACCAAAAGCACATTTAATGTCCACATTTCTGACAACATTCTGTTGCTGGTGCCATATGTATTCCATAAGACAACAGAGACTTTATAGCTCTCTTAATGTCCTTCTGAGCTTTTACCAGAATTACCTTTGATGTCCATAATTCTACTAATAGTCTTTTCAAGACAATCTAGGCTTGCTTTTATACTTCTAGCTTCTATCTAATTCCAAAACTACTTCCACAGTTTAGGTATCTATTGGAGCAGCACTCACTCTTCCAATACCAATATTCTGTCTTAGTTATCTAGTGTTGCTATAACAGAGTACCACAAGAGGATGACTTTAACAAACAGGAATTTATTTTCTCATAGTGTAGGAGGCTAGAAGTCCAAATTCAGAGCATGATTCTAGGGGAAGGCTCTCTGTCAGCTCTGGAGGAAGATCCTTGTCTCTTCAGCTTCTGCTTCCTGGTTCCTTGGAGATCGCTATGTGTCTTGGCATCTATCGTACCTCATCTCTCCTCTACTTGTTTTTTTAATATCTTTTTATCTCAAAAAAGATTTATTTAAGACCCACCCTATGCTAATACTGCCTCATTATCATAACAGACAATTTAATATCAAATAGGATTATAACCACAGGCATAGAAAATAGGGTTCTAACACATGTTCTTTGGACTGTAACTCCTTTGGCCTATCCTAATGTCCCTATCCCCAGGCTAGATCCCTGGGGATAGGGACATTGGGGAAGGAAGCCAAGAAAAGGCGAAAAGGGGGGATGGTGTGGGAAGTGTTGTTGTTAGGTGCCATGGAGTCAGTACACAACAGTACAAAACACTACCCAGTCCTGGGCCAACCTCACAATTGTTCCCACGCTTGAGCCCATTGATGCTGTCACTTTGTCAATCCATCTCATGGGGAGGAGCGGGGGGCCTTACTCTGTTTCTCTGACCCTCCACCTTACCAAACATGATATCCTTCTCCAGTGACTGGTCCCTCCTGACAATATGTCTGAAGTATGAGGGACAAAGTTTGGCCATCTTGGCCTCCAAGGAGCACTCTGGCTGCACTTCTTCCAAAACAGATCTGTTGTTTCTTTTGGCAGCCCATGGCACTTTCAATATTCTCCTCCAATACCATAACTCAAATGCATCAATTCTTCTACGGTCTTCCTTATTCACAGTCCAGCTTTCACATCCATATGAGGTTATTGAAAAGACTATGGCTTATGTCAGGCGCACCTTAGTCTTCAAGCTGACATCTTTGCTCTTCAACACTTTAAAAAGTTCCTTTGCAGCAGATTTGCCTAATGTAATACATCATTTGATTTCTTGGCTCCTGCTTCCATGAGCATTGATGGTTGATGCAAGAAGAATGAAGTCCTTGACAACTTCAATCTTTTCTCCACTGATAAAAATGTTGTTTATTGGTCCAGTGGTGAGGATTTTTGTTTTCTTTGCATTGAAATATAATCTATACTGGAGGCTATGGTCTTTGATCTTCATCAGTAAGTATTTTAAGTCCTCTTCACTTTCAGCAAGCAAGGTTGTATCATATGCAGGTTGTTAATGAGTCTTCCTCTAATCCTGATGTAACATTTTTCTTCATATTACTCAGTTTCTCAGATTATTTGCTCAGCATACAGGTTGAATAAGTATGGTAAAAGAATACAACCCTATTGTACACCTTTCTTAATTTTAAACCATTCAGTATTCCTATGTTCTGTTCGAACAACTGCCTCTTGGTCCATGTACAGATTCCTCATGAGCACAATTAAGTGTTACAGAATACTCATACTTCACAATGTTGCCCATAGCTTGTCATGATCCACAAAATCGTGTAGTCAGTAAAGCACAGGTAAACATCTTTCTGTATTCTCTGCTTTCAGCCAAGATCCATCAGATATCAGCTGTGATATTCCCTATTCCATGTCCTCTTCTGAATCCAGCTTGAACCTCTGGAAGTTTTCTGTCAATGTATGCTTGCAGCTGTTTCTGTATTACCTTTAGTAAAACTTTACTTGCATGGGATATCAAAGATATTGTCTGATGATTTCCCCATTCCATTGGGTCACCTCTCTTTGGAATGGACACAAATGCGGACTTCTTCCAATCACTCGGCCAGATAGTTGTCTTCCAAATTTCTCGGCATAGATGAGTGAGTACCTCCAGTTCATCTAACTTTTTTGAAAGATTTCAATTTGTGTTCCATCAATTCCTGGTGCCTTGTTCTTTGCCAGTTCCTTCAACGCACCTTGAACTTCTTCCTTTAGTATCATTGGCTCTTAATCATATGCTACGTCTTGGAACAGTTGAACATCAACCATTTCCTTTTGGTACAGTGACTCTGTGTATTCCTTCCATCTTCTTTTGATTGCTTTCTGCATCATTCAACAATGTGCCCAGAGAATCCTTCAATAACAAAAGTTGAGGCTTGAATTTTTTCTTCAGTTCCCTCAGCTTGAGAAATGCTGAACTTGTTCTTCCCTTTTAGTTGTCTGACTCCAGATCTTTGCACATTTCGTTGTTATATTTGACTTTGTCTTCTTGAGCTGACCTTTGAAATTTTTTGTTCAACTCTTGTACCTCCTCATTTCTTCCATTTGCTTTAGCATCTCTACACTGGAGAGCAAGTTTCAGAATCTCTTCTGACCTCCATTTTGGTATTTTCCTTCTTTCTTGTCTTCTCAACAAAAAGTTTTTCAGTGTTTTTTCTGACATCCATTTTGATCTTTTCCTTCATTCTTTGTCTTCTTGAGCTAACCTTTGAAATTTTCTGTTCAGCTCTTGTACCTCCTCATTTCTTCCTTTGCTTTAGCATCTCTACGCTGGAGAACAAGTTTCAGTGTCTCTTCTGACATCCATTTTGATCTTTTCTTTCTTTCTTGTGGGAAGTCAGGGGAGGAAATTTAGAGAAGAAATTCGGTGAGTTGCTACAAAGGTAAAATGCAAGAACTAACTGGAGAGGGAAATGTGGTGGATCTGAGAGAATCCCCAGACCTGAAGTGAAAATAAGCATGATTTTAGGCCTGTGAATATGAGGAAAGAGGAAAACAAGATTATTGAGATACTTATTTCTGGTCTGTGATACTTAGGAATATGGGATCAGTCGAGAAGAGAAACTGGAAATTGCTGTTGGCTTCTGTCTTCCATTGTTGCGGAAGATACTGCTCGACCTGCAGAGAACCCACGAGGATGAGTCTGTCAACAAGCTGCATCCCCTGTGAGGGAGGGCTGGGAGGGGCGCTGGATGGAGGGAGGGGCATGTCAGGGATCCTGGGGGAACCAGGAATAGGTTAGGTGAAATCTTGGGATAGAAAGGAGAAGAAAAGTCTTTGAAGTGGGAGGAGGGAGTTTGTGGAGGGGTGGGAAGAGGATTATCTGACTGTGTGAGTGACTTAGCTATTATCTCAGGTACTCCCGAGGAGTGCTCTCCCCAGGCCGCCATGTTCGAACACGTCTCTATTTCACCAGTGAGAGCCATGTCCACTCTCTGCTTAGTGTTTTCCGTTATGGAGGACTTCTTGATGTAAGGGCCCTCTTCTGTATTCAACATGTGAAATCTTTTCTCAGCGTTCTTTTATGTTCTACCTCATGCTAGTTTTTTGTTTGGTTTTTACTGCCAGCTTTCTGTATATTCTTTTCTCTATGTGCCTGCCCATTCCTTGACTCTCTTGTCCTTGGACCCTGACTTAACTCTTTTTGTGTTTGGTAGGAAACCCAGGATGCACAATGGCAGCGTGCTTTGGCTTATCTTAGTGCCATCTCAGAGCTCAATTACATGACTCAGATTGTCATCATGCTTTATGAGGACAACACACGGGTGAGGAGCTAGCAGGGTGGGATGAGAAGAGGGTCCCTTATCTCTACTGGCATGTCTTCTTAGAAAAAAAAAATCTTATTCTCAGAATTTGTAGAATCTACTTAGGCTTGGCACCTAGATCACACCATTACTGAGCATCCAGGAAGTTTCTACTGGAACAAAATTGTGTTCTTAGATGGTGTTGAGCCAAAGAAACACCCTAAAAACAGAGCTCTGGCATTGGGCAGGATGAAGAATTAGTGACAGTATTCCTTAGAACTCGTTATATTGTTACACAATTTCTTCATCTGCTTCCACAAAAGTATCTTTAAATATGCTACTATATGCACCTTAGCAAAGCTGAGTTACTGGGAGATAAAGATGGGAATGATTATAGCACTGAAAGGTAGAAAGTCAGTTGAAGTGATGAGCTAGAAATGGTGGAAGTGAGGGAATGAAGATTCTGTAACATTAGGCTAACAGGTCAGCCCCAAGGTGTAGCAATACATTGAAATTTAAGCCCTGGGAGGGTATACCCTCTTGAGTTTCTCTCTGTTGCCCCAGCCTGCTCTTCCACTGCCATATCCAGCTTCTCTCAACTTCCCTTTATCTGGTAATGCTCCATAGGATCCCTTTTCAGAGGAGCGTTTTCATGTGGAGCTGCACTTCAGCCCTGGAGTGAAAGGTGTTGAGGAAGAAGGCAGTGCTCCAACTGGCTGTGGATTCCGCCCAGCCTCTTCTGAGGTTGGTCATGGTGCTGAATTTGAGACTGGGGGACTTAGGAACCTTGTGATGGGAAATTAGGAAATAGTAAAAGGGAAGTTAAAGATTTGGGGAGATTGGGAGGCTGAAGGACATTGTCGTCTTTTTGATCTGTGCCTGTTGAACAGAATGAAGAGATGAAAACAGACCAAGGCAGCATGGAGAACCTATGCCCTGGGAAGGCACCAGATGAGCCAGACCGGGCACTACAGACTTCACCTCAACCCTTTGAAGGCCCTGGCCTCCCAAGGAGATCACCTCTCATTCGTAACCGAAAAGCTGGCTCTATGGAGGTAATGGGAAGAAGGGCTTGGGACAAAGACTGGAAAGGGTAGATGTGCTCATAGGATGATATCTATGGGCCTAATGAGCCTCAGAAACCCTATACAGGGTCACTATGGGTCGAATCGACTTAACTGCACTTAACAACAACAACGATTAGGCTGCTTAGACTGCTACCAGGGAATCATTCTTGGGGACCTGAGTCTTCTTGCCCCTAATAAAAGTTTTTCCTTGCCATTTATTTAATCTCTCTTTTACAGCTGACCTGCCAGTAGAGCTCCTCTATACTAGTTGCTACTGCTGAGATTAAAGAGATGTCAGTGAAGAGTGCCTGGGAGATAGGCTATTAAGAGATGAGATTGAGGAGGAAACCTATAGATGTGGAAAGGCAGTTCTTCAAAAGGAAATACAGTAGAAATAGCAGGAATTTTGAAATCTGGCAGCCCTGGACTTAAATCTCAGTCTGATCTTAAAAGCTGTGTGACTTTGGACAGGTAACTTAACTTCTCCAAGTCTTAAGCTTTTTTCATCTGTAAAATAGGAGTAATATCCACCTTATTACTGATAGCATAGTGGATTATGAGCTGGGCTGCTAACTGCAAGGTAAATAGTTCAAATCTACCAGTAGCTCTGAGGAAGAAAGATAAGGCTTTTCATGTTCCTGTAAAGATTTACAGCCTCAGAATCCCTATACCGGATCACTGTGAGTCAGAACCGACTCTATGGTGTATATAACTACAACTACCATCTACCTTATAGTACATAGTAACAGTAATAAATAATAAACAGTAATATCAATACGTTATTATTGTTAAGTACTGTGGAGTGTTTTTGACTTAAAATGACCTGTGTAGGGTTTCTGGGGCTTTAAAATTGTTTGCAGAGGCAGAAAGTCTCATCTTTCTACCGAAGAACTGATGGTGGGCTCAAACTACCAACCTTGTGGTTTGCTGTCCAGTGATTATCCTATGGAGCCACCATGCTCTAAATACCAGTATAATTGATATTAAAGCCAGGCTTTCTCCCCTTTTTGTTGCCTTGAGTAAAAATTATAATTTAGTCACTGGCGAAAACCTGGCACTTTAATTTAATTCCTTAGAGTTATCTACACTGTCATCCCAGAAAGGAAACTATGTTTGCAAGTCCGTCTTCTTTTTGTTCTGACAAGAGATTTATCTGCCTGTTCCTGTGTTCTGTTTTTCTCAGAGTTTGTCTCTAGTTTTGGTTCTAATTCTCCAGTTGTTTTGGTCTTTTTTCCTGGAAAGACTGTTTCCCTTTTTGCCTAACAATAATTTGACCCCATGATGTCTTCTTGTCTCTGACTCATTTGGTTCCTGTTCAGACTTGATAAATCTATACCAGCTGTCTATCTTAGAGGAATTGTTTATTTCCATTTTAGGGATATTGAAGAAGAATTTTTGATTAACTTTATTTAGCCAAGAGATTTAAAATTCAGGTTTTGGAGAAAATTGAGAAGAAAAACTAGTCTCTTTTCTGGACTCATCCTTTGCTTCCTGATTATTTTATGATGAATTTGGAGCATTCTGGCTGTACTTCTTCCAACGCATACGGGTTTGTTCTTTTGGCAGTCTATGGTACTCTTTAATATTCTCCTCCATCACCATAATTCAAATGCATCAATTCTTCTACAGTCTTCCTTATTCACTGTCCAACTTTTACATGCATATGAGGTTATTGAAAATACCATGGCTTGAATCAGGTACACCTTAGTCCTCCAACTAACATCTTTGCTTTTCAACACTTTAAAAGAGGTCTTATGCAGCAAATTTGCCTAGTGTAATATGTCATTTGATTTCTTGACTGCTGCTTCCATGAGTGTTGATGGCTGATTTGAGCAAAATGAAGTCTTTGACAACTTCAGTCTTTCTCCATTTATATGAATGTTGCTTACTGGTCCAGTGGTAAGGAATTTTGTTTTCTTTACATTGAGAAGCAACCCATACCAAAGGTTGTGATCTTTGATCTTCATCAGTAAGTATTTTAAGTTTTCTTCGCTTTCAGCAAGCAAGGTTGTATTATCTATATATTGCAGGTTTTTAATAAGTTTTCCTCCAATCCTGATGTCACCTTTTTCTTCATATAATCCAGCTTCTTGGATTACTGGCTCAGCATACAAATTGAATAAGTATGGTAAAAGAATATAACCCTGGTGCACCCCTTTCCTAATTTTAAACCATTTGGTGTTCCCTTGTTCTATTTGAACAGCTGCCTGTTGGTCTATGTACAGGTTCCTCATGAGCACAATTAAGTGTTTTAGAATACTCATTCTCCACAATGTTGTCCATAGATTGTCATGATCCACACAGTTGAAAGAGAGATATACATTACTTTATCTGATGAGTAGGTGTAATTTGATATCCATAGTAATCTAGTAATCCATGAGTTCCCAGGAAGTAGATTAAATGGACAGAATGACACTCATAATCTTCCATTATTAAACTCCTCCTCTACAGCTAAGTGTCCTCTCATCCATCTGACCAGCTAGTCTCCCCAGCACTTTTGTGTTTGACCCTCTTTTGTGTTCCAGTTTAAGCAATCAAGAAACATAGGGCAAAACAGAGCCTCTGTGTATTATGTCTAAGATTGATAAGATTGACCTCTTCCTTTCAGGCCTACAGAAGCCTTCCTGTTGTATCTCTTTCCTTCTTCTCAGTTACTAGTGCTGCTTATACCCTTGCTTTAGAATGATGGTTACCTAGGATGTGCTCCTAAACTTTGCAAGAAAAGTTTCTCTGCTTCTTAGTCACACTGCCTTATAATATTAATATAGCCTCTTTTTGCTCTGTAAGTATAGACATTGGGCAATCTTATCCTTGTTGCTATAACCTTTCCTCCATCTCTTTTCTTCTTGTCATATTTTTGGATTATTTTATATTAAAATCTTATGACCTTCATAGCAACTGTGCCTGAGGTGGTCCTTCTCTCCAGTCTTATAACTAACTCTGCCCTGTGAGCTCTGGGACTTTGGGGAGCCTGGGGGTTAAAGGAGCCGTGACCGGCTTTCCACCCGGTCTGATTGCAGGTTATGAACATGCAGTGTACTGGGAGCCTGGACCTGATCCCCTTGCGGGGACGGCGCCGCAGGAGGTCAGGAGACCTCCCCCGGCCTTCCCCAGCCATCGGCCTACAGCCCCGGGCTGTGTCCACCACTCACCTGGCGTCCTGCACACAGGTGTTCCCTACCTACCTTTCCTTCCTTTTCTGCCTTCTGTCTTTGACTTTTGGGATCTAGAACTCTGAACTCTATCTAAGTGGGGAGTATGTATGTTGGGGGTTGTGTGATTGGGCCCTCATGGGCTTTTGGAAATCTGTTTCATGTCTCCAAGAGTAATATATACGGAGGTGGGTGCATCTTGGTTGAGATAAGAAATCGAGTGTGGTTGCAACAGCCACAGCTATTCATAAAAAGAAGAGAGGGTGACCAGACTTTATTTCTTACTTGTATCTAAGATAAGCTTTTGATTCCGGGGGAAGGAGAGCTAAAAATTAGGGTGCCTGCTCTGCTGCAAATTAGGAGGCATTGAATAATGAGTTTTCATATTTGAGATGGGAAGGGCTGGGGGACACCAGAGGCATCTTGGAA